ACCCCAAAAGCAGACATTAATCAAGCCAGTGGAGTGTACCATTGTCACCTTGCCCAAGAAAAGTTTGTCAAGTGAAATCAAAGATCAAGATAATGCTCTTTTTTTTTTTTTTTATGTGAAGAGGATAGTGCATTTGGAGTTCGTTCCACCAGGTTAGACTGTTAATCAAACTTTCTATTTAGAGGTCCTGAAAAGATTGCATAGCAGTGTGCAACAAAAAAAGGTCTGATTTGTGGCAACAGGGGACTGGTTTTGCAACCATGACAAATGCACCTGCTCATGCAGCCATCTAAGAGTGCCAGTTTTGGGCAAAAAAAATAGCATGCCTCTCTTATCCCACACACCTGAATCACGTGACCTCCTCACTCCATGCAACTTCTTTTTGTTTCTACGAATGTGGAAGGACATGAAAGGGCAGCGATCGATGATGTTGAAGAGGTGAAGAAAAAAATGAGGGAGCTATCCCAACAGATGAGTTTGAAAAATATTTCCAAGTATGGAATTGCAGAATTGACAAATTATTAAGTGTCATGGAGAGTGCTTTAATGGTGATATGGTTGTTTTGCCAAAAAAAAAAGAAATTAAATAAATAGCTTTGAAATTAAAATTCTGGGTTTTTTGGGGGGTACTCCCTCTTGTGTGTGTGTGTGTGTGTGTATGTGTGTAGTGATTACTTATACCTGCATTATTTTGACATTAAAGTGGTAGATGAAATAAAGCCATATTAATATTAGAAACTTCCAGATAATATTCACTGATATTTCTCTCAACTTAATAAATTTTATTAGTTCTACTAAGCAGGCTTCCCCCTTGCTTCTATAGTTCATCCACGGTGGGTTTTGGTGGGATGCTCTCTATGACAGTGTGAACAGGATGATGTATAAGACTGTAATGACGGCCAATTAGCAATTGTTTTCTCTTCCCATTCTATCATGATTCTCAGAGTAAGCCTTTCACATAGAAGGGGTAACCTAGGTGGTGTGATGTAAAAGACATTCTGTATTCATTCTGTTAATCCATAATTTTCTCCCCTCCCAGTTTGCTAAAAGTACTCATAATTTTCCCATAGAAATCTAATTTCGTGTGTGTGTCAATTATATTCTCCTTATAGGCACCTTTTTAAAAAAAGCAAATGCTCCCCCAAAGTACATGATACCTTATTATGAACTAGCTTTATCAGATCACTCTTCTTCTCCAGAGGAATTAGAATGAGAGTATCAGTCCTCCAAGAGATGCTGTAAAGAAGGAAAGGGTACAGAAAAGAAGGCAGAGGGAACCCATGGCACTATCTCCATTCAATAGAGAACTTGCTACAAAAAATGCAGCTAGTTAACAGCTTACAACTACCGCACTTTCAGGGTCCATAGCAGTGACTATACCAAGACCATACACTCCCCCAGTTATACCAAGCCAGCATCTGAGCGCAGGCCATTCTTGTCCATTATGGAACTTTTATAATGGGCAATCTTTGCACTGGAACTGTCCATAGGCTTGGCTACACCCTTCCCTAAACAACCTGCGTCTTCTCCTATCTTTTCCCAATGTTGTAAGTGCATTACTCCTGCTCCTGCTCCCTCTTTCTTTATCACTCATATTCCTCTAAATAAATCTCCTCTTGCATTCTAAATGCATCTTGATGTCAACTTCCTAAAGTATCTTAAGTAACACAATCCCTCAAGTAAACATTGTCCACATGTTTAGAAACAACTGTGCTACATAGACAGGCAGAGATTCATCACATTAAATTAATTTGATGTATTTAAAAAGGCATTTTTTAAAAAGGCATTGAAATATAATAGTATTGGCACTAGAAATTTTCAGATAAGATTGGTATTTTTTTCAATTCATCAATCAGGACTAATTTTATTTCCAAATATCATATAAGGTAAATATAGTTCATACAGCAAGGTTATTTGCCTGAGAGGAAAGAGCAGGATAAATATTTGCTGAGCATCTACTACTGTCAGTTGCCTGCCCTAGATTCATTGATAAAAGAGAAAAACAACACTTGAGATAGCTTTAAATGACACCAACCATAGTGCTACTGTACCCACTGTGGGCAAGTTGGTTCTGATTCATAATGATCCGAAAGACCCTGACAAAAGCAGACTGTTTAATCTTGCTCTGTTGGAATGGCAGATGGATTCAAACCATCAACCTTTCAGTTAGGAGCCCTTTAGAACTACTGTAGCAGATAGGAAGTCCACTTCCATGAATTGGATATGATGATGTTATTTTCTCTCAAGTATTTGAACATATCTGACCTTCCATTGCATAAATCTGACCTTCCTATAAAATTATCTTATTTTTGTGTTTGTGTTTGTGTTTTTATTTTATTTTATTTCATTGTTTTTTGGGGTTTTTTAATCATTTTATTGGGAGTTTGTACAATTCTTATCACAATTCATATATATATCCATTGTGTCAAGCATATTTGTACATTCGTTGCCATCATCATTCTCAAAACAATTGCTTTCTACTTGAGCTCCTAATATCAGCTCCTCATTTTCTCCTCTCCCTCCGCACTCCCCCCCGCATGAACCCTTCATAATTCATAAATTATT